GAGTGCCCCGAATTCATCAGCACAGCTGCAGCTAAAGCCTTCCACTGCCTTGCTCAACACACGCTGCCTGGTCCTAAGGCCAAGAAATTGGGTGCCTTGCCCAGCTGCTTCGTCGTCTTAAGCTTGCGGCTTTCGCCTCGAGTTTGCCAGTCGTCGGTCTGAAGTGAGCTGAAGTTGCTCTACTCGACTCCGCTCTTTCTGAAGAGATGGGGCACTTCTATGCGATGAGATTCTTAGCACATGGCCCAGCGAGAGAACATGCCCGAGAAAAGTCTTCGATGCCCTCATTGTGGCCTGGCTGCTCCCACGCCAGCTTTTGCAAGGTGATGTCACAACCGTGAACTTGACGATGCTCCGATGTGGTGTGAGCAATGACAATGGGAAGACTTTCTGCCGCTCTGCCGGTTTCAGAATTTCAGCCCTCACCTGCCGTGAGCCCGGAGGGGCTCCCTCGCTGTGCGTCCAGGCCTCAACGTGATCCCCACAGAGGCGGAGGCAGGTTTCGACGTTCGCATCACGCCCGACCTGAAGCCCAAGGCCAGAAGGGGGAGAGAGGGGCGGGCCGGGCTGGGCGCGCCAAAAACATTCGGAGATGAAGGGGGGATTTTCAAAAACACGCTCAGCATGACTTGGGCGCGGCCATGCAGTGAGCCTAACCCAACTCCACGAGCCACCGAGATTCTGTCGGGGCACAAGCCAAAGAGGACTTCAAGAACTTACTGGACCAGTGGTGCAAGGAGGACGAAGGCGCCTGGGCATGCTGCAATGAAACTGGAAAGGTTTTACAGGAAGCTGGTGGCAGCTGGTGGTACAGAGTCAGCAATGCAGTCATTTCGGGGTTCTTCTATGTTACATTTTCGGTATGCTCTGTACTCGTATGGCTGTATGTCACGATGTAGCTTGATTCGCCTCTCGAAGCGCCGGGTGTTGAAGAAAAACCATGGCAGCTCCGGTGCTTATAGGATTCTTTTGAGAAGATGCTACCCCTAGGCCCCAAAAGCCATTACATCAACACTCCGATAGATGTCGCCGTCGGGCTTCTTTTGTTGTTTCAGCGAACACATCGATCCTCAGGTATCACCTGGCAGATAGCACCGTGGACACGGGCTTTTCAAGAGCACCACACAACTGCTTCTCGGGCAGCAAGTTGATATTTGATATGAAAGTGTGACATTAGCATGTCTCAGAGCCGCAAAGAATCCTAACATGCGAAGGCCTGCCCAAGAAATGACCTGACTCCACGGCCAACGGCCTAACACCTAGCTTGGAAGAGCAAACACCTAGCTTCTCATCCTTGCGACTGCGCGTTGGGAAAGCCCAGCAGTCTCTGAACAAACCGGTCTGTAGGATTTGGGGCCTTGTCTGTGGTGTTTGCCCAAAAAAGTCAGAGCCTTAAATAACAGGCTTCTTGGTCATCTATCGTTAATGCTCGATTCGGCTCAGAACGACAGCTGTACTCTGCTCGAAAGGCTGATGTTCGTGATACCAATCTGAGAGCATCCGAAGGCAAACAGACCGCAAGCAACTGCATGAATGAACTCGGCCATGCTCACACAAAAGGCAACAGACGAGTCGAATCCCTGGTGGGTGGCTTTTCGCACCCTGGGCTGCGCATCAGCTGTGGTGTCAGAGACCTGAGTCCTGAGGAGTACCTGAGAGTACTGTCTCCTCCCTCACCAGACAGAAGGCTGAGGCAACAGGAGAGAAATTCGTTAAGCTATACATCCTTGGAAAGGAGGCATCCGTCGAAAGTGAGCCATGACTGTTCCTGCCACAATGCACTGGTGTCTCTCGCGATGGTCCGAACCAGACAAGGCGTCTTAGAAATGCGTGGACTCTTCCAGTTTGCTTTCTCGTAGCGACCTGTCTGAGTGTGAGGCGACGCCATGTCGTCGATGTCCTTCGATATTGAGCCGGAGGCCAGCAGACGGCGCATTTTCCTGAAAGGGATGGAACCATTTCAGGATCTTCCGACAACCAGCGAGGCTCTTAGAATCCTAGAACCCCAGAGCCATCGTCTCTCCTTTGCCTCCGAAGCAGCCTGGTGGGAGGTCTTTCCGGCTGCCACCGACTCGCGGTTTCTGCGTGAGCTTGGAATCCCGGCCTTGGGCTTCTCACCGATGAGGCCTGCAGTTGGTTCGCCTCGGGGGCTCTCTGGCGCTTGTCGGCTCCTGTCTCTTGCATTCTAGCACTTGAAGGGCCGGAGATCTGCAAAACTGCTGCTCCGCTCACGCCTGCTCCCACAATTTCCGGCATCCGTTGCAAAGCTTCCTGTTTTTGGACGACTGCCTTTCTAGTGTGCATGCTCGCCAGCATCGCCTCCCACATTTGTCATCGCTGGGTTCGTTTCAACTGCTCGATATCGGAGCACCAGCTGAGTCTCAGCAGTATTGTTTGATCGCCCCAGCAGAAGGACCTCGAAAGTCAGCAAAGAGTAGTTCATGCGCCCTGCAGAGAAGTAACGAAAGGAGAGAAAAGGCACAGAGAGAGGCCATCTGAGAACCTGCGCAGGCGCTGCCCCATCTTGCTGCATGAGCATGACGAATACCTTCCGGTGGACGTCTTCATGTCAGGCACGGCGCAGAAAGATCTTGCAGCAGCCAGCGTGCAGCTGTGGGTGTTTGCAGCCTACGCCATTTTCTGCCACGATCTAGGCTATAGCTGTGGCCTACCCTTACCATCTCAGCGAATGCACGGGGGGGGGGGGGGGCAGAGGGCAGATTTTCCCTGGTTTTTGGTTAATGCTGTGTGCTTGTAAGCCCTGCTGGCGCGTAGAACCTGTGCTTTCAGGCACGGATGCTTCCTCCGCTTGTCAGATTCTGGTACTGCTTTTTGTTCATTGCTGTTTGTTGCTGTTGTCCGTGCCTCGAACCTGCATAGTGTCTCCCGGAAGGGCGTGTCGCTTTCTGGCTTTTGTTTTTGGCTTTCAGTTGGAAGATGCGGTTTGTGTTGTGGCTTCAGTCAAACAAGTCGTTGGAGCAATGAGTCTCGACATCTGCACTGAAGCACTTTCACGCATGGAAACGACAGGGGCTTCGAAGACCATTCAAGCACTGTTAATCTCCCGATGAGGACAGCGCTGTCGGTGTTCTGTCGAGAATTCGAGAGTACTGGCGACAGAAGGTAGAAGGACTGGATCTGGATCCGACCTGTCGGGTTGTGGTGCTGCGACTGTGACCCGAAACGGGCGAGAATCCTGCTGACTCATTCGACGGAATCCGGCCTGAAACACTCGTGCTCCTGCCCAATGCTGTCTCTTGCCTGACCTTTTTGACTACGACATTCAGGCATGATATCAGCAAGGTCTGGGTTGTTTTGATCCTGTTCTTCAGGTATCGACGTCTATGTCGGCCTCATTGATGCGCTGGCATCTAAGCAGAAGCTTCACGGGGAGGATGAGGCTGGACGGAAGTTGTCTGGGCTTTTGCCTTGCGCTGTGTCACAGATACTGTAAGACATGTTTGCCACCACGCATGTTGGTGATCCAAAGAGTCAAGGGGGAGCCAGAAAAGCAAGCTGTGAAACCAGGGGGCGGCACCTGATAAGTTCCAGGCGCACGTGGGAGTTGCATTGATCAAGCTGCAAATTTGGCTTCAAAGCTCAAAGTGAAGTTATCGCGTGCCACCGCTCTCTGTTGCCATGGTGACTCGCGGCTTCAAGGAGTAAAGGTCTGCGGGCCCCAGATGGCAGAGCCCCGTTTGATCCCGAAGATGCTTGGAATCAGAGATTTAGCTTCCCCACCCCTTGCTCTGTCATCTGGCGGCAGCAGCGGCCGGGATGCAAACAACCGGGCATCGTAGAGACTTGTTCATCCGAGTTTTCCAGGTTTAGACGATGAACTTGCTTTGCAGGTTATCGAAACTTCAAGTTTCAGAAGGTTTGCGGTTTCGGCGTTCGGCATGTCTCGTCATTACTATGGGCGCGCAACTGCATTAACGCCCAGCACCTCACCACAAGCAAGCCTAACAAAACAGTTGTTTTGCAGGCCACTACCAACTTAACAGAGAAGTACGCATGGCGAGGATGCAAACAGAAGCGCGAAGGTATTGGTACGCCCAAATTCTACAAGCATGACTGACGAACACGCATCGGATATGCGTGAAGGAATCCAATGAAATGGAAGCAGAAACTGAGCAATCACCAAAAAGCACAAGAAGCAACACGCAACACCACCACACCAAGCACCAAAAATGTACGCAGGAACCAACAAGCAGGCACCTAACAGCAAGATGCAGTCACCGATCAAAGCAAAACACTGCAACAGCAAGCTCGCTGAAAGCAAACTCCCACAGACATGCATGAATGGTTATGCCTTACATGCAGCAACATGAAAACCGACTGCACTGGTCCAGATCAAACACAGCAGTCACAGCAGTGGGTGGAACGGTTGCAACGCCAGCCAGAACATGTCCCATGCGCACCTCACTCAGCCTTTTCGCACAACGGCACCAGCAATGCCAGCCACCAAATACAGTACCACTCCGCCGGCCACTCCGAACTAGCGGCAAAAATCACCGACCAACGGAAAAGATCAAGAGACATGCAGCACGCACAATTAGGCAGAACCCAAACATTATCGTGTCTAGTAGCACCGAAATTAACAGCATAACGTCAGACACCTACCGCATGACAAATCAGGAGCTGCTGCAAACGACACTGGGGTCACAAGTGCAAACCTACAACATCACTCCACATCCACCCACTCGTATCAAAGCTCATCATCGGCCTGCCAACAATGCGAAACAAACGCTCGATGCACAAGACAATAGAAACAAAGACGAGAAGCATGCACAGCGCACGTAACAAAGAGCACAGAAAAAAAGCACGTCATCAAGGATCATCATTGCAAAGCATTCAACGTCACAAACCATGCCGAAACGGAAAGAGCCCCTCGGATCCCTCCGCCAATCAATCAGAGCAACATAGAGGAACAACGCATATGCCACACGACAGTATCTAGGCTGGACAGCACAAAGTGCACCAATACGGTCAACCCGACCATGCGCAACATCTTAATTCGGCATCCACACGAATGGAACTGTGCTAAGCTGCTGCACCGAGCTTCGCAGGACGTGCAGCGTGGCTCCAAGCCAAAGGCCTTGCGGCTCTGGGATTCATGGATTCGGGAATTTCCCATATCGAGTTTGGGGCTTTGGGTTTCGGTTTCGAATCGGGCTTCGCACGATATGGGTCAGCTCAAAGTGGTTGACGGAAGATATTTATTTGGTTCGTGATTCAGTCCAAAGTGTTAATCATACAGCCACGGTTGGGAACATGGGCCCACATGGGTGAGGCCCAGGTGTTTTGTGTATGCTTGTAGCCACTTGTCCGTACTAGGAGTAGAGGCCTGAATCATCATGAAGCAGTAGGGTACGCACCTGAACCCGCGGGAAGCCCATAGCCCTTAGGGTCTGAAATGCAAGGTTTCGAAGCAGCATGTGCAGATCGCCAGCGCGCCACTAGATAGATCACAGCGCGGGAAACGCGCAACGCGTTGCAAACTCTGAGACGGAGGGGCGCAGTTTGAGCGCCAACCGATTCGAAAGGATGTTATCAAGGAGGATGAGTATATGAGCCCTGGGCGCGTGCATTCGAAAAAACCGAACCTCTTGACCCACCTGGTGCAGGGGTTCGGATCTTCGGCACCGCGATTCCGGGCAAAGACTTCGGAAGTGCCAGGCGCGTCTTGGGGTTTTTGTGCAATGACGACAAAGAGTGTTCGGAGAATGTTTTGATTTGGAGGGGAGGCAGGGGGCAAAGTACGAGTACGAGTCAATCAACTCGACGCTTAGTTTCGCCAAATTCCGTGAGACAGCGAAATCGCCACAACGTCAGAACCGGCACAAATAAGTGTACGCCTGATCACAGTTGAACAGGCAACGCGTTTTTACCCGTGTTTGACTGACACCCACGTTTCCTTTGACCAACGCACTCGCATGCATTATTTGACTGACTCAAGCCCCGACCGGAGGGGGGTCGGTGTAGAGTCGAGAGAAGCCAGGACTGTTTAATTTGTGGGGTTGGCTGGTGCGGTTGTTCCGGAGCTGCAGTCGTTTGCAGCGTGCAGCAGCAAAACCTGCTAGAATTTCAGCGAGTTTGGAGATTGAGAACCTTCCGGCCACTTCCGGTCCTATCTATGACAAGTCCGGTACCTTGGACCTCTGACCCGAACTGACAAAACTCCACGTCCGACTTGTCCAGGCAAGCCTGCAACCTTAAGTGCAAACCAGGAACATGATGTGATGGAGAATCCTTATCCTACGTGGTCCTACGTACTACGTCCCAAGCCGGAAGCCCGATACCCGAAGCCAGAACCCGAATCCCTAACCGCCAACCCCGAAGCCCAATTTCAAATCCCAATGGCCAATGAAGCTTTGTCCAACCCGACAGGACCCGGCTCCTACAGCTTGCCGAGGCAAGGGTGCCTTGCGAAAGACTCGGAAGGGTTTGTGTGGTCGGGTGTTGGGGTTGTTAAAGCTTGAGCTTTTGGGGAGAGTGTGTTCAGATTCTTGGATGTCGGGGTTTAGGGTTCTTATCTTTTTGGCCTCAGGGTTTGCATGAACACGTGTACATGATTGAGGATTTCACTGCCTTGATGCTTCGGCACAACATCATCTTCAAGGCCAAAGGGTTTACCTGATTGTCAAAAGTTATCGGAGTGAGTCTTGCGGGATTTTGCTTCATAGTATGAGGTTGTGATTCTGCGGCCTGGGGGTGAAGCTGATGACTGTGCTGAGCTGCTCAACTAGGATCCTGCGATGCTTGGATGGTCTTGGCTGGTAAGCTTAACCCCCTAAAGGGCTCTGGATCCGTACAGTATGTGTTGAAGCACGAATGGCGGGGATCTGATGGCTTAGGCGACGCAGTCAGTGCTTTCTGGAGGAGACATAACATCACCCTACTTATAGGGAAGGCTGATATCGGACAGAGTTCCTGGAGTGTCCTTTCCCTGCAAGCCACATGCGCATACACTATACACCCGGAGCCCGATCCCCTGCACCGAACAACCCCTGTCTCTCAAGCTGTACTTGCCCTTTGATCTTCAGGAGGCCTCGCAAGAAGGCCCGAACTGCGAACCTGGAAGCATTTACCGTCCAGGAAATCTAAGAAACCTCCCGGGAGATCCCACCACAGCCCGCAACCTTGCGCGCTTGGGAACCATACGCCGGGCCAGAAAGAATCCACACCAACAGCCCACAGTCCGTAAGCTTATGAGATCTACAAGCTCGATCGCAATCCCAAACGTTCTGAACACATCGTGCTAAGAACCCCATGCCCTCATATTCCAAGACTGCACCGGATGCAGGCTCTTCGATGCTCCCAGCCCGGTGCCATCCCATGAAACGGTAAGGGTGTTTGGTCGGGAATTTCCATGAACATCCATGAGCTACGGGGTCTCTGTATGCAATCCGAATAGTGAGTGACCTTCATAGTTGTTATGCAGATTCCAAAGAATCATCTCTATGTTGCAGAAGACTTCATTAGAGAGGCGATCTTGGTGATTGTGGCACGTCATGGGCCGTGGGTGTAATCAGGGAAGGTTTGGGACTGGGGTTCAGAGCCTTTGCATTTGAGAAGTTCTGTCAGAAATATGGCATCCACAAGCAAGCATCTCTCAAACGCCGGGCCAGCTCCAAGGCCCAGCCTTCGTCACAGTAAACCATAAGATCAACGGGAGCCGAAACCTTGCAAGCATCTGCTTTCGAGTAGAAAGCCTTGGCATTGCGACATGGTGCAGCAATCCAATGCATCAATCCGCAGGGTTGCGGGGCCAAGCAGCAATGAGTGAAGGGAGCCATCTCGTGGAGCTTGCGCGGGTTGTCGATTGCCAATTCACCTGTTCAAAACCGCGTCTGGGGGCTTATTCGGTCGCTGAGCAAAGGTTAAACAAATGAATTGATTCAGAAGCACTCAGGGGGATCCCCAACCAGCTTTCTGCTTCTTTCGCAAGCGTAGTTCGCAACGCTTGTCAGCATTTAGCAAGGCGGTGGGAGGCCTTGACTACTCTGAGCACATCACTGACAATATGTAATATGTCCTTGACCCGCTAGGGTGCAGAAAGCGGTTTGGCGTGTGCCGGCCCGAAAATACCAATGCATCCAGGAATTTCATTTGCAAGTAATTATGCCAAGCATCCGCCATGCTTGAGTGATTCGCAGTGCTGTGCAGCAATGGATTCTCTTGACGAATCCCTAGCTTCCGTGGCACTCTTCTCAAGTCTCAACGGCAACCAAGCAAGAGATCAAGAAGCTTGGGATGTGCCTCTAGGAAGCCGTGATCGTGTTCATCGTTCTAGGCTTATGCAGGCTAATGCAATCGAAAGCGCTGACTGCTTCTCAGGGTCTCCGGTTGAAAGGTCCACAGCTGCTGGCTATGTCGCCGAATTGTCAGGTGTTGGGTCCACCTTTCAAACGTTCTTGTGTGGGTCTGAAACGTGGGCTACCAAGTCGGCATTCGGTTTTGCTGAGCAGCTCTGTGACCCAGGTGATGAAGAAGACGCGGAAGCTGCCAGCTTTCTTCGAGGATGGGAGAGGGATTAAACTAAACGTCATTCCTTTCGCAAGTCCTGTCCAAGTTTCCGCACTGAGCCATGTCGACCACGGAAAGAGGACCTGACCACCACCTGCTGTCTGTTCTAGAGTCTGCAGCGAAGCCTCTTCCGAAAGCTGCACCGCAGCATCGCAGCAAGCCCTGCTCGGCAGGAGCCCGGCAACGACATCGAAATGGCCCCGCCCGGGTCCAAGAAGTCTTCGACGTCATTGGTTTTTCCAATGTTGGTCATGGCGGGTATCAGGAGTGAAAGGGCGTTCAGGGTTTTGTATGTGCGGGACACCGGTGTGGTGAAGTTTGATGCAAGCGCCCTTACTATGCACAACTGCGCAGCGTACGCCTGCGTGCAACATTGCCGGACAAACTTGCAGCTCAAACCCAGCAATCCACTTGGGCCCTTGGCTTCAACGTAAACTTGTAAAAGTCTGGATCCTGAAATGCGGAGTCGGATGGCTGCGGCGACTGCTTGAGAAGGCAGACCGCCAGCGGAGCAGCAGCGATGACAACTACGACAAGAGAATCCAAGCACACAGTTGTCCATCACCAACCTTTACGCCTTTGTGCCAAGAAGCGACCCTCTCAGTTCCGTTGTAGAGATCGCATATTTGCAGGTTGCAAAAGGTCATCACCGAGGACCCTTCTTTGCAAGCTGGGCTGACTGTGACGGTCTGCAGACATGGTCCATTGGATTTGGGATTGATAGCTCCGATGTCGAAGGTCGAGAGAACATGCTGATCCATGTCGTAAGCCTGCTGCCACATCAGTGTTTCAGGGAGGTTCAGTATGGGAAGCCGAAGGATCAAGCATATGCGGTTACTGGCAGTTCTGAGCTTTTCGTTGGACATACGGCAATAGCAAGCGCAAGCGCGACACAGCATCAACAAAAAAACAGCCCGTCTTGGAACGTCATGCCCAAGTGCTGCACTTGAATTCCTGCAGGACTTGAAGCTCGACTTCAGAGTAGCAGAGTGATGTGTCTGCGTGGAGTCTCCCAGCCAGTTCAAAGCTTCAAAACTAACCACATCCGATCCGTTCCGCGCATGGCACCATGACCGCTCCTAAGCAAGAGGCAGTTCAGGTTTGGTTTTGGCGCTTCGGAGATTCACGTGACGGCTCATCGTGAAGGCGAGGGGCTTCGGTGATTCAGGCTCCAAGAATCCAAACGTTTAGATCAGTGTTTTTTTGGCGTGGGATTTCACTGCAACCGTACAGCCTGAAGCCCTTGTCCTGAAACCCTGAGCGTAAACCGACGGCCCCACGACCCTAAGCTTTAAACCTAAGCTTGCCCAAGAACCCTGTCGGCGCAAAATTGGCGTGGGGGAGCTTGTCATCAAGCTTTGGACTTACGTAGAACAGCAAGCTGGATTTTCTCCGGAACAGCTATTTTATTCCTGATGCAAATCAGTCCAAATCGTGGAAGGACGGTCCGGACAACACTGACTGGGAGGCAGTGCTGGTGTAGAGCAGGGGATCGAAGAAGTTATGATGTGAATCTTGGGAGAATTTATCCCGGTATCGGGACGCTGGACTTTTCCAGACCACAGCTTTTGGAATCCAGGCCTAGCCGTCACAGCCTTCCATGCATGCTGAGGCTTGTTTTGAACCTGTTGTCTGTTCAGCTCGCTTGCTTGAAAGTTTGCTGTTTGTTGCAGCTCTCGGTGTCAAGAGGTGCTTGTCCATTTTTTGCGGCTAGCGTCCGGCTCTTGATTTCGAAAGAGTGTGTTTCTGCTGTTCCGGCTGATCCTTCGAGCGTCCGGCTCTTGGTTTAATCTAGGTGTTTGTCAGCAGTGAGTCCCTCTCCCGTCTGGCACCTTGTTCTGTCCAATTTGGCGGTAAGGGGACATTTGGAACTAGCCTCTTGCTTTGGACAGGTCCCTTGTCTCTGTGTGTCGCTAGGGTAAGTGCCCGGCTCTTGGCTGCGCTTCTCCACTGCAACTTGCAGTTGAGCCCGGCAGGTCGCCTTGTGTTGGTCCGTGAATTGCTACAGCCTAGCAGCAAAAGCTCTTGGCTTAGACTTGCTCAGTCCAAGTCAGTACAAGGAGTGCACAAATATTTCGGTTTTAGAACCCAGATCTACCGAGCGTCCATGTTTTCACGGGACATCTGGTCGTGCAGTAGAGCTAAATACATAACTTGCTGCGTTTTGGTCTAAAGTTGTTTCTCTTGGATTTGTCGTTCTGTCGCGGCTCCCCAACTGCTGAGACCTTGCCCGAGGTCGTGTGCCTGGATTATTGCCTCAGCCAGTTAATTTCTGGATGGTGTTCTGGCCTTGTCTGGTTCCCATGGCCAGGACGTCCAGGACACGACGCAGGCGTGGTTCATCGCGAGCTACACCACGTCTGCGGCCTAGATCAGTCTAGATTCGTCGGATGCTTCAAACCGACAATCCAAATCCTCGCAGCTCCCTTTGCCAGGCTTCCGGTGCCCCAAACATCCCCAAATGACGATTGCTGAACGTTCATCCTCTTTACCCTGACCCCGCCTTCGGGGCACCGCAAAGCTGTTGGGGCCCAGGCCCTTGCCAACCCTCTCGGACGATCGGATGGCACCTTGGCTTTTAGCTTCGCGTAAATGTCGATATTTTGTCTAGGAAATGGACGCGACTGTCCGTTCCTCGAAATCAGTACTAAGCGCCCTTCTGGTGCTGTCGGTAAGTCTCTGGTTATTCCGAGCAGCGAGAGCACGCGTCCCGGTATCTCAAAGCCTGGTATCAAGCATTGGTCAGGTCTACAGAAAGGTGCGTCTCCCAAAATGGCCTAAGCGTGTAGATTCGTAGGTTTCGTATGAACCCAAGGCCCAAGGCTGCAAGATCCAGGTTTGATGGCAGAGATCACACTGGCAGTTCGCCTATGGGAGACATCAATGTTGAAGGTGTGAGATTTATTCAGGGGTGAGGCTTCGTGAATGAGTGAGCGAAGTTTATGACAGTTGCGGCCCAGAGCCCGGCTGGGTGAGACGTTGCGGGTCTGCCCTCGCCAAGCCTGCGCGATGCTCCCGGCATTTCAGGATTGATCGCGGAACGGGTCATAAAACCTTTCTGATGGTACGTGTCATGTGCGGTCTCCAGTGGTTAAGGCAGTAGTGTCAGGTTTTCGGAACTCTGCCGGCAGTGGGATCTAAGTTGCGTTTACGCTGAGCTTCCTCTCTGCTGTGCATGGCTCACTTTTCGAAGGCAGAGATCGACGAGATCGTTGCGCGGATGGAGGGAGGGTTGTGAGAGTAGGGCTTGCGCTTTGCAATCTACATTTCCGGTTTAGCGGAGCCAGAATCATTCTTACTGGTAGCATCTGTTTCTTTCATAAAATAGCCGAATAGCCTTATGTAAATCATACTTCCTGGATGCTTGTTTCACCTGCCAGGCTGGAATTCAAAAAAGTGGTGCGCGCGTTGCTTCGGTGAGGGGGAGGGTGAAGGGCGGGAAGGTTGCGGCAGTAGTCGCGTACCGGCTTGCATTGAAGCTTCAAACTTCAGTACTGTGGGCTTGCGGGTCTTCGTGCAACAGGGTTGCATGATGCTGCGCAGAGCCGGATAAGTATTCAACTATCGTGTGTGTGTGTGTGCGTGCTTTGGGAGGCTAGGTTCAAATGGGCGTCTGCAGTTTCATGACCTTTGCAGGTGCTTGCAAAGCGAAGGCGCACTACATGAATGAGCCAGCAGCAGCACATGAGCTTCGGAAGACGATGTGTGCCTGTGTGCGACAAGGGATATGGATACGGTATATTTTGCGTTTAGCTCGGAATGAGTGGACTCGACGGCATCTAGCTCAGAAGTGCTTGACTTTCTGGACGGATCCTGCGGTGTCGATGCGTGGCGCGGGTCCTTCAGTCGGAGTTGGGCCCCCACATGAGCCAGCAATCGTGGTTGCACGGGAATCTCTATGACATGGACATGGGCGGCATGTGTTGGCTGGCAGCGGTGACCCCACTGACCGAACCACTTTCAACGAATCTTTTGTGTCACATCCTCGCGGGTTGTGCTCTCAGCAGAGCATTTGCTAAGCGTGCCCCGTCGAGTTGAAAACGGAGAAGACTCTAGCATTGCGCTCTGTCGACCCTGCGGCAGCTGTGTAGTTCTACGAGATCGGAGGTGGGGCGGTATGCGAGGTCTCAACTCTCTCTTCGATCTTTCATGTTGCGCTAGAGAACGGATGTGCGTCGCGACAGCTCGACTGGCTTTGATGCTGCACAAGTTTAGCTTCACTTACAAGAGGCACCTGCCTCACTGCAGTTCCAGCTTGCCAGCCCGGCCTCACGTCGAACGCCCCCAAGCCAACCTACTGTGACCGCAACTTTGCCACAGCTACTGCACCGGCTCTCTTCAAAGCCGTAGTTTCCGATTCTGGCTATGTCAATGTGGCCGTTTGCTGATGGAGCCGCCAGCCGGCCTCGCCTTGCTGACGCTGCCACGTCTGGCCTTGCGGCTTGGCCCACGAACCGATCGCATCCCTGCACTGCACAGCTCCCAGCCGAGGCAAGTCGCCTGGCGGGTGCTCACTGAAGCGAACACAGCAGCTTCGGACCGATATTTGGTGCTGTTTTTTTCTGCAAGTTTGAAGAGCCCATCACCACCATGGTTCTGCTTGACCGCAACTTAAACGTCCTCGGGCTTGGTGTTTGGAATTTAATTTGGGATTCGGGTTTGGCCCGCACCAATGACTTCGGTCACGTAGCTGCTACTGCTACATAGTAGCAGTCCAGGGCGGCGTTCTCTGCCTGCATGTAAGCACGGTTGTGGTTCGCTCCTGCATGGTAGGCCTTAGTCGGAACATCGCAGTGCAAGGTCTTGGTGATCATTGCGCTGTTTTGGCACCAGGACGCGTGGTTGCAACTTGAGGGCGGATGAGATGTGACAGTGCCCTTGCTTGATGCTGTGATTTCCTTTACGTTGAGGAATGGGCTTCTGCAACACTGGGCCTCGTGCTGAGCACTGCATCCTGGACTCTTTGTGTCATCGATGTGCTGCTGGCGCAGGCGCGGTCGAAGCCGAAGCTATGCATCGGCAGATTCCGCGATAGGGAGTAGGCTTTAACACCATAGAGATGCATCGACAAACTAGGTTTGTAAAGTGGCATTGAAGATTCAAAACAGGTGAAGGAACAGGCTGGCGGATTCGTCTTGGTCGCATATCCTAAAGCATGCTCTCTCCATTTTACCGGTTTCCAGCTTGTCTGCCGCTGTCCGCCTCTCGCATTCATGCGGTACAGTTGACCGGAGCCCTCAGCTTTGCAACTAACCACTCTCGAAGCAGTGCAGGGTCTCCAATTCCAGCTTTTGCTTCGTGATGCTCCAACTGTAAGCAAGGGTCCTCAGTCTGCTCTGACTCTCTTGAGCTGGAGCCTGCTAGGACCAGCAATCTGCGTAAGAAGGCCCCCGAAATGTATCGAGACCTGAAGCGACCTCGCTTCAAGGAGCCAATCTCACCTCTGGACGAGGCGCAGAGGAGCTGGGATCGGAAGCTGCAAGATGGATGGAGTCTGCGGGTGTCGATTCTGTCCAAGTGTGTCCACAGGTTGAAAGGAACGGTTAGGCTTCAGCATACTCGCATCATCCATCAGACTTAGCACTCTTTTTCTTGTAATGTTCCCTTTTGCCGCCGTTGTCAGGAGCCTGGCGCGCGGCGTTGCGACGCCCGCCTGGCGCGCCTTCTGGGATTCTTGTCGGAGAGTCACTTTTTCCGAGCCTTTCCTGGCCTCATAAGACCTCGGCGTCCAAGACCGGCCTCAAGACGGGAGCCACAAGAATTCGCAAGAAACGGTATAGCAAGCAACCTGTGAGATTAACCAAAACTCCACAGTGCCGTCGACATGACGTGCATTGGCCTTGGTGTCTAAGTTCAATGATGCTTGTCTGAAGCTTCAAAGACATAAGCCCTTGTATGTGAGACCACAGTCTCAGGATTACGAGCAGCAGATCCAGGCCAAGCTGAGATGTTAGCGTGTGCGCACTGAGAGTCTTGTATCTTCGGAGTCTCGGTATTTTTGAGGGGTGCAGGTCTGGTGAGCAGAGATCCAACTGCCTGAGGCTCCCGGCATGGGTCTGCTGGTACCCTACGGCATGACCTTGATCCAGGCTTGGGGTCGGGTCGCCGACTGCAGCCGCTTTTTTCCCAGCAGCAGAAAAAACGCCTCTCGGCTCGTTGAGGACCTGGACCCTGTCTCGGCCATCGCCGGCCTCACCCTGGTCCTGGCCGCTGCGACGTCCCTCGCGAGCGCCCGCGTCGCTCTGCTCAGTGTGTTTCTTGTGGGATCACCGGCAGCCGTCCCACTACAGCAACCCCGCAAATGAAAGTACAAGCTGTCATGGTGGCAAGTGTGCAATCACAGGAGCGGGATGCAGCACACAAGAAGTCTCGCAAGACTGGCACTGGTCGGATGCTCTCAAAGACAGTTGCACCAGGACTCGTCGACACATGCAGGACAGTGCGCGTGACAAGGACAAAGAAAAACTTGAAGGAATTTTCGGAGTGGTGGATTCACCAAGACACTTCATGACCACAGCGTCAAGAAGCGCACGACGATGGCGCCAAGCCCTAGCTGAAGCCGGTGTTCAAGTGCGAAAGGGGAGTGGCTTCGATGAAGGATCCATTAGGCACGGACTTGGGGGGCCGAGATGCATTTGCCAGGTGGATTTCAACTGTGACTGGCCTGGGCAGCGAGGGCAGGCAGGGGTCGAATGTAACCTTCGAAGCTGCAGCCTGAGGCACCTAGGATATAGAAAGCTTCGCCGGCTTTTGCGTCGCTGTTCCATGCACTCTCAGCTGCTGGTGACCGCGAAGCTATATGCCTTTAGCTTTGCCCTCACGTCTGAACCGTATTAGTCAGCGAAGTTGAAGGCTTCGGTCATCTACCTCCTTGATCCTCTCACGGCCTACAGCCTGCCGCTGGGCTTCTTTCCAATTTCAGCTTCGGTGAGAGCAGTGAGGCAAAGCGGAATAGCAGAGCGCTTCGTTTCGGGACCTCGCTCTGGACACCTGTCCTGGAAGTTCGAGATTCGAGAGCAAAGATGCCTTCTGATGTCGTCTAACGTGCAGCCTTTGTTGTTCACGTAGTTGTTACGAGCAAGTTACTATGAGCCGCTCGTTTGCGGCTAGTGCACGTGCCAACCTTCACCATCTTTGGCACGGCTTTCAATTGCAAGTCACACAAGGATGGGGGCTGGAGATGTGCAAAATGCTTTGAAAAGCCTTTACCTGCACTTGATGCATGCTCAGGTATGCCAGCTACTTCATCGGATCACTGGCTGAGTTTGCCGCATTTGCGGTGGTTAGCTCCGTCGCCGGGCTTCAAGGAACGGGGTGAAGATGACACCAACCCTAGCAAGAGTCATCCTAGGAGCAGGAATGGTAGCGCGAGCAGCCACGATACTGAAGAGAGATCGCAATACAAATAAGATCCTCCTGAGTTAAGCCGTTTGAGCGATCGTCGTGACGACTCTGCGTACGCACACTACTATGTCAGTCAGCTACTTTGAGATGGCAGAAGTTGTCGTAGCATTAAGTATATCAGTGGCGGCAGTCGTCGTGGTGCCGGTTTCGTTACGAGCGAACGCGGTAGTATTCGTGAGAGTTAGAATACAGATGCAGTTAACCCTGGCTTTGTTAATGTGGTGCTGTTATTGGTGTGATCGTGACAGCAGCAGCAGCAGCAGCAGCAGCAGCAGCATCAGCAGCAGCAGCAGCAGCAGCAGCAGCACAAGCAGTGGGAGCAGAAGGTCAAGAATAGCAGTGCGATTGGAGCAACACAGCAGCAGGCATCTTTACAAGCGTTCCGATGTTCTAATGTTGTGGTCTGTGTCACCCGGCTGCTTGTAATCATTGTCGATTTTGCTAGTGATGAACCTCGGGTTCCCGGTGTTTGCTCCTGTAATGCAGTCATGAAAAGATGTTGTATGACTGTTGTCGCTATCGTCCTTTCTGTTTTCATGACGGTCAATGCTACAGCTATTCATCATGATCATGATCATCCTCATGGTCATGGTCATGATCATGGTCATCATCATCACCACCCAGCATCACAATGATCATCATTGACATGATATCATGAAGATCACTTGGTTCCAAAGGTTTCAATGTGCAGCGTGCCGCTACTCAGGTACTTCACCCGCTTCTTGCTTGTCTGGGTTATGCTGTCGCCATCGAGGCAACGGGTGGCGAATCGGGTTTGCTGGATCTCCTGCGCCCAAGATCGGAGTTGGGCTTGGGCTTGTGGCTTGAGAGGTG